CTGGGCCAGATGGCATTTATCCTCACAACCACTAAAAGAACAGGATCTTGCTACATGAGGCAGGGAAACGGATTAAGCCAAGACAAAGAATGGGTGGGATCGGCATGAGATTGGTAAGATTTCCCATTTTTCTTTGAGGAACAATTGGTGCCCCATTGCCTTGCTAAGACCTTAGTACCTACCATTCTGTTGCAGGATACTTTGTCCCTGTTGTCTTCTGATCACCATATCTGAAGACTCCCAATCCATACTTTGTCAGCAAGTTGTAAAATAACTGCCCTCTGGGTGGTTGGCTGAAGCTTAGTGACAGAGCAAATTAGAAGCATGCATGGGAAAAGACATGGGAAGACATGGCCAAGTAGCTCAGTGCAGAGCAGCTGCTTTGCATATGGAATGTCTCCATTTTAGTCTCCTGCTGGGATCAGAGACAACCTTCTTTGAAATCCCTAGGTGTGTCTGGTAGTCAATGTGACCAATACTGAGCTAGATGGACCAATGATCAGACTCAGTTTAAGGCAGATTCTTAGGGGAGAGAGAGAACATGGGATCCAGAGTCAATAAGTGCATGGTGTGTTGCAAGTATTGTAGAATACATCATAGAACTATAGAGTTGGAAGGGACCATGAGGACCATCTTGCCCAAGCTCCTGCAATGCAGGAATCTTTCAACCAAAGTGGGGCTCAAACTCACAACCCTTCTGAAGCAGTAATTTTGTTTCCTGCTAGTAGCTAGTAAATTAGGATACAGTAGTATCTCGGGTTACGAACTTAATTCATTCCGGAGGTCCTTTCTTAATCCGAAAGGGTTCTTAACCTTAGGTGTACTTTCCCTAAAGGGGCCTCCCACTGCCGCCACGCCACGGCTATAATATTCACTGCTATAAAACTTTATATCAATCTTCGCTAAACAAGGTGGCATCCTTCTCATTCTGTCTCAGTCCATCTCCTTCATCCTTACTGATATCTTTTCCTAAGCAGGAATGATGAGCTTGGCCATAGCAAAAGAAATATGACTGAACCTCAATTTTGGAGAGACATTACGTATCAGACAATAATGCCGGAAGACCAGCGAATGCTGTACTGACTTCTCTTGTCACCAATCAAACCAGGTTTCCAGGTAAACTAACTCACTAAAGTCCAAAAAAACTTCAATGAGAAAAAATCTAGAGGGGTGTGGCCTATGTGGGGGATTCAGTTATATTGCAGAGAACTGCACATATATGACTTTTGACTTGATAGACAGATGTGGTGTTGTTCAATGGGCTCCTCGCTCTCACAATATTTTTTTTGCACAGAATTCCAGCTGAGTCAAACATCTTTGTGATATTTCCCTAGAGGAAACTTGTGCTCCAGAAGAGGTGACAAGGATTCCACACACCGTCATTCAACATGGAAATAAATGGGACTTTGCAATCTGCTGCGGTTGCTGTGACATATAAAGAGTATAATGACACTTACAATAGCTCATATAATGACCAAGGAGATTCCCAATATAAACCATTTGAAGTATTTATACTAAATGTCTTCATTTTAGTTACCTGCTGTGTGGGATTTTTGGGGAATGGAACTGTCATCTGGCTTCTTGTTTTCCACATTAGGAGGAAACCATTCACCACCTACATCCTTAATTTGGCTATTGCTGACTTTGCATTCCTCCTGAACTTAGAAATCTATGCTTTTACTTGGTTTCCTTATTATGTTCTTCATAGTATTGCTTTTTGTCTCTTATCCTTCACATACAACACTGGCCAACTTCTTCTGACAGCCATCAGCATTGACAGATGTTTGTCTGTCCTCTTCCCTATTTGGCATCGGTGTGTCCGGCCGACCCATTTGTCCACCACTGTGTGTGCCCTCATATGGCTCCTCTCCTGTCTGCTCGGCGTAATGCTCTACATTCTTGAAAAATATTACACGTTTCCATCTTGGTTATCAGATACAGGCCAATATGTCTTGACTGGACTGCTTTGCCTCCCACTTATGACAATTTCAACTGTGATCCTTTTCCTCAAAGTCTGTTTTAAATCACACCCACGAAAGCGGGGAAGGCTTTTAATGGTTATTTTACTTACACTCCTCTTCTTCCTCGTGCTTGCTTTCCCACTCAATGCCCTTCTTCTTGCTGTAGCCATCGGGGGCTTGAATATTCCTGGTCTGTTCCATTATGCCTTTTTGTGTGCCTCCCTCGACAGCTGTGTGAACCCCTACCTCTATTTTCTGGTTGGGAGCAGGAAGGGAGGTCAATCTAGGGAGAGTCTACTGGCCATCCTCCAGCGGGTTTTAAATGAGGAGGAGAATGACAGACAGGAAATGGACCCTCCTTGTTCAAACCCACTTAGGAACCTTTCATAAGAGTTATTTGGTCTGGCTGTAATGTGTCCTTGCACTGCATTGATGACTATTGCTCACCAGAAAAAGGAGGGCTGCTTTTGTTGAAATTTTGAGGTTTGTATAGCTGAAATGTATCCTACTTTACAAAGGGAGGAATCATGTCTTTTGTTATCTCAATTTTTCTTCTGTGCCCCACCCACCTATTGTATGCAGTTTGTTTTTCATTGTATAACAAAATTTCTTAATAAAATTTCAGTTTTAAAAAGAACACATGGTATTGGCATATATCTTGGGTTTCTGCCTTACCCAATCTCCTATTAAGGAGGACATCCTGCTTAAGTTAAGGTGGGCTGCAGTGACATGTAGCTAGAAAAGAACTGTCACTCTCATTCATCTGTAGAAAGAAATAATAATAATAATAATAATAATAATAATAATAATAATAATTTATTTATACCCCACCCATCTGGCTGGGTTTCCCCAGCCACTCTGGTGGGCTTCCAACAGAACACTAAAATACAATAACCTATTAAACATTAAAAGCTTCCCTAAACAGGGCTGCCTTCAGATGTCTTCTAAAAGTTTGGTAGTTGTTTTTCTCTTTGACATCTGGTGGGAGGGCATTCCACAGGGTGGGTGCCAATACTGAGAAGGCCATCTGCCTGGTTCCCTGTAACTTGGCTTCTCACAGTGAGGGATCCACCAGAAGGCCCTCAGTGCTGGACCTCAGTGTCCGGGCAGAACGACGAAGGTGGAGACACTCCTTCGGGTATACAGGACCGAGGCCATTTAGGGCTTTAAAGGTCAGCACCAAAACTTTGAATTGTGCTCAGAACAGTCCTGGGAGCCAGTGTAGGTGTTTCAAGACTGGTGCTATATGGTCTCAGAGGCTACTCCCAGTCACCAGTCTACAGGAGTCTTTTTATAATTTTTATTAAATTTTCTCTTTTACAATTTAAAAAAACCCATTTTATCATCCTTAAGAACCTATGATTTTACACAGGGAAGAAACAGCAAGACATTTTGGAAAATCTTATTTTCCCTTCTGTGCTCACCCCCTCCCTACATAATGTGCATATTCAGCAAATGTTTTTTGCTGTTAAAGGGCAAGGATGGTTTTATCTGTTATCATGAGAGGTCCTGAGATGTTTTATTTGGCCGTTACAGATAAAGAAGCACATGATACATGTGTTCAGTTTCCCCTTCAGTACTCATTACAAACTGGCATTTGGGGACATAGGTCTTTAAATGACAAGAGTCTCCTCCTCCTAGGCCAGATGGCGTTTATCCTCACAACCACTAAAAGAACATGATCTTGCTACATGAGGCAGGGAAACGGATTAAGCCAAGACAAAGAATGGGTGGGATCAGCATGAGATCGGTAAGATTTCCCATTTTTCTTTGAGGAAGGATTGGTGCCCCATTGCCTTGCTAAGACCTTAGTACCTACCATTTTGTTGCAGGATACTTTGTCCCTGTTGTCTTCTGATAACCATATCTGAAGACTTCCAATCCATACTTTGTCAGCAAGTTGTAAAATAAGTACCCTCTGGGTGTTTGGGTAAAGCTTAGTGACAGAGCAAATTAGAAGCATGCATGGGAAAAGACGGAGGAAAAAAGGGCCAAGTAGCTCAGTGCGTAGCAGCTGCTTTGCATATGGAATGTCTCCGTTTTAGTCTCCTGCTGGGATCAGAGACAACCTTCTTTGAAATCCCTAGGAGTGTCCGGTAGTCAATGTGACCAATACTGAACTAGATGGACCAATGATCAGACTCAGTTTAAGGCAGATTCTTAGGGGAGAGAGAGAACATGGGATCCAGAATCTATAAGGGCATGGTGTGTTGCAAGTATTGTAGAACACATCATAAAATTGTAGAGTTGGAAGGGACCATGAGGACCATCTTGCCCAAGCTCCTGCAATGCAGGAATCTTTCAACCAAAGTGGGGCTCAAACTCACAACCCTTCTGAAGCAGTAATTTTGTTTCCTGCAACTAGTTAGTAAATTAGGATACAGTAGTATCTCGGGTTACGAACTTAATTCATTCCGGAGGTCCTTTCTTAATCCGAAAGGGTTCTTAACCTTAGATGTACTTTCCCTAAAGGGGCCTCCCACTGCCGCCACGCCACGGCTATAAAATTCACTGCTATAAAACTTTATATCAATCTTCGCTAAACAAGGTGGCATCCTTCTCATTCTGTCTCAGTCCATCTCCTTCATCCTTACTGATATCTCTTCCTAAGCAGGAATGATGAGCTTGGCCATAGCAAAAGAAATATGACTGAACCTCAATTTTGGAGAGACATTACGTATCAGACAATAATGCCAGAAAACCAGGGAATGCTGTACTGACTTCTTCTCTTGTCACCAATCAAACCAAGTTTCCAGGTAAACTAACTCACTAAAGTCCAAAAAAACCTCAATGAGAAAAAATCCAGAGGGGTGTGGCCTATGTGGGGGATTCAGTTATATTGCAGAGAACTGCACATATATGACTTTTGACTTGATAGACAGATGTGGTGGGTTTATATGTTGTTCAATGGGCTCCTGGGTCTCACAATTCTGAGTTTTACACAGAATTCCAGCTGAGTCAAACATCTTTGTGATATTTTCCTAGAGGAAACTTATGCTCCAGAAGAGGTGACAAGGATTCCACACGCCGTCATTCAACATGGAAATAAATACCAATGGAACTTTGCAATCTGCTGCGGTTGCTGTGACATATAAAGAGTATAATGACACTTACAATAGCTCATCTAATGACCAAGGAGATTCCCATTATTACCCATTTAAAATATTTATACTAAATGTCTTCATTTTAGTTACCTGCTGTGTGGGATTTTTGGGGAATGGAACTGTCATCTGGCTTCTTGTTTTCCACATTAGGAGGAAACCGTTCACCACCTACATCCTTAATTTGGCTGTTGCTGACTTTGCATTCCTCCTGAGCTTAGAGATCTATGCTTTTACTAGGTTTCCTGATTATGTTCTTCATGGTATTGCTGTTTGTCTCTTATCCTTCACATACAACACTGGCCAACTTCTTCTGACAGCCATCAGCATTGACAGATGTTTGTCTGTCCTCTTCCCTATTTGGCATCGGTGTGTCCGGCCGACCCATTTGTCCACCACTGTGTGTGCCCTCATATGGCTCCTCTCCTGTCTGCTCGGCGTAATGCTCTACATTCTTGAAAACTATTACACCTTTCCATATTGGTTATCAGAAACAGGCCAATATGTCTTGACTGGACTGCTTTGCCTCCCACTTGTGACAATTTCAACTGTGATCCTTTTCATCAAAGTCTGTTTTAAATCACACCCACGAAAGCGGGGAAGGCTTTTAACGGTTATTTTACTTACACTCCTCTTTTTCCTCGTGCTTGCTTTCCCCCTCAATGCCCTTCTTCTTGTTTTATCCTTTGTGGGCTTGAATATTTCTGGTCTATTCCATTATGCCATTTTGTGTGCCTCCCTCAACAGCTGCGTGAACCCCTTCCTCTATTTTCTGGTTGGGAGGAGGAAGGGAGGTCAGTCTAGGGAGAGTCTTCTGGCCATCCTCCAGCGGGTTTTGAATGAGGAGGAGAATGGCAGACAGGAAATGGGCGCTCCTTGTTCGAACCCACTGAGGAACCTTTCATAAGAGTTCTTTGGTCTGGCTGTAATGTGTCCTTGGACTGCACTGATGACTATTGCTCACCAGAAAAAGAGGCTGGGGTTTTGTTGAAAATTTTGAGGTTTGTATAGCTGAAATGTATCCTACTTTACAAAGGTAGAAGTCATGTCTTTTGTTATCTCAATTTTTCTTCTTTGCCCCACTCACCTATTGTATGTAGTTTGTTTTTCATTGTATTACAAAATTTCTTAATAAAATTTCAGTTTTAAAAAGAACACATGGTATTGGCATATATCTTGGGTGTCTGCCTTACCCAATCTCCTGTTAAGGAGGACAGCTGGCTTAAGTTAAGGTAGGCTTCAGTGACATGTAGCTAGAAAAGAACTGTCACTCTCATTGCCTGTTCATCTGTAGAAAGAAATAATAATAATAATAATAATAATAATAATAATAATAATAATTTATACCCCGCCCATCTGGCTGGGTTTCCCCAGCCACGGTGGTGGGCTTTCAACAGAACACTAAAATACAACAACCTATTAAACATTAAAAGCTTCCCTAAACCGGGCTGCCTTCAGATGTCTTCTGAAATTTGTTAGTTGTTTGTCTCTTTGACATCTGGTGGGAGGGCGTTCCACAGGGCGGGTGCCACTACTGAGAAGGCCCTCTGCCTGGTTCCCTGTAACTTGGCTTCTTGCAGCAAGGGAACCGCCAGAAGGCCCTCAGCGCTGGACCTCAGTGTCCGGGCAGAACGACGAAGGTGGAGACGCTCCTTTGGGTATACAGGACTGAGGCCATTTAGGGCTTTAAAGGTCAGCACCAACAATTTGAATTGTGCTCAGAACAGTCCTGGGAGCCAGTGTAGGTCTTTCAAGACCGGTGTTATATGGTCTCGGAGGCTGCTCCCAGTCACCATCCTTAAGAACCGACAGCTCTTGCATCCCACTCCACTTCTCACCTATGGTTTTACACAGGGAAGAAACAGCAAGACATTTTGGAAAATCTTATTTTCCCTTCTGTGCTCACCCCCTCCCTACAAAATGTGCATATTGGGCAAATGTTATATGCCGTTAAAGGGCAAGGATGGTTTTATCTGTTTTCATGACAGGTCCTGAGATGTTTTATTTGGCCGTTACAGATAAAGAAGCACATGAGACATGTGTTCAGTTTCCCCTTCAGTACTCATTACAAACTGGCATTTGGGGACATAGGTCTTTAAATGACAAGAGTCTCCTCCTCCTAGGCCAGATGGCATTTATCCTCACAACCACTTAAAGAACATGATCTTGCTATATGAGGCAGGGAAACATATTAAGCCAAGACAAAGAATAGGTGGGATCGGCATGAAATTGGTAAGATTTCCCATTTTTCTTTGAGGAATGATTGGTGCCCCATTGCCTTGCTAAGACCTTAGTACCTCCCATTCTGTTGCAGGATACTTTGTCCCTGTTGTCTTCTGATCACCATATTTGAAGACTCACAATCCATACTTTGTCAGCAAGTTGTAAAATAAGTACCCTCTGGGTGGTTGGGTGAAGCTTAGTGACAGAGCAAATTAGAAACATGCATGGGAAAAGACGGAGGAAGAAATGGCCAAGTAGCTCAGTGCGTAGCAGCTGCTTTGCATATGGAATGTCTCCATTTTAGTCTCCTGCTGGGATCAGAGACAACCTTCTATGAAATCCCTAGTAGTGTCTGGTTGTCAATGTGACCAATACTGAACTACGTAGATGGACCAATGATCAGACTCAGTTTAAGGCAGATTCTTAGGGGAGAGAGACAACATGGGATCCAGAGTCAATAAGTACATTGTGTGTTTTTGCAGGTATTGTAGAATACATCATAAAATGACAGAATTCTAGAGTTGGAAAGGAACATGAGAATCATCTACTCCAAGCCTCTGCAACGCAGGAATCTTTCAGCCAAAGTGGGGCTCAAACTCACAACCCTGAGATTAAGAGTCTCTTGCTCAACCAGTCTCATGCTCTAGGTACGGAATAACTGTTATTATCTTCCCTGGCTGGTAGTGAATCTCAATGGTTCAGGGAGGACATTCCCATATCTACCTGGAAATGCTGAGGGTCACTTTTTGTACCTTCTGAATACAAAGCAGACATGTTCTCCATGAGCTTCAGACCTTCTCATATGGGTGGAAGAGAAAGAGGGAAAGCAGATGTGGGTGGATGGGGTGGAAATCAATATGGTATCTCAAAAGGGGTGGACATGAATAAAGGGGGACTAAATAGTGAATACCTTGTAAAGAGATGTATTTAATGAGACAAATGAAAATAAGTGGTTGGGTTCAGCCGTACCTACTTTGACATTTGTCTCCCAGAGGATTGGTGATGGGTCATTGTGTCCATTGGCAATCAAATTGTTCCACCAATCTTATTCTTATAGGTTATTGGAGGGAAATGCCCCTATACAGCATCTATTCTGGAAGGATATTGAAAGGGATCTGCTAGAGTATCTACTGGCGGGAGTGGATTTTGATTGAAGTAAGACAGCATGGACTACAATGACCTTTTCTGATTCCTTTGCAATAGCACCGCCCTCAAGTCTCTGAGCAAAGCCAAACTGAGAAGAACACATCATTCTGGGTCATGTATGGAATTCCACTTGAACTTTTCCACTTGAAATGTTCTCTGTAACATTTTATTTCTCTTAGCGGGCACTCATACTCTAGAAGAAGAGATAAGGATCCCACAAGAAGCAAGTGAGCATGATGGTAAATAGCAGCTGGCCTTCCAGTTCCGATATGGAGGCTTGGACAGGTTCTGAGCATGATAATAGCTCATATACTGGCCAAGAAAATGACTGGTATAATCCATTGAAAGAAGCTATTTTCTATATGTTCAGTTTGGTTATCTGTTGTGCTGGATTTTTGGGAAATGGAACCACCATCTGGCTTCTTAGCTTCTGCACTAAGAAGAACCAGTTCACCACCTACATACTGAACTTGGCTGTTGCTGACTTTGCCTTCCTCATGACTGTAGAGATATATCACTGTATTGCTTTGACTCGTCTAGGCAAAGATGCTTCTTTAATAACTCTGCATCTCTTAATGTTCACGTACAACACTGATCTGCTTCTCCTAACAGCCATCAGCATTGACAGATGTGTGTCTGTGCTCTTCCCTATTTGGCATCGGTGCCACCGGCCGACACATCTGTCCACCACTGTGTGTTCCCTCATATGGGTCCTCTGCTTTCTGTTCACCATAATTCTCTACATTCTCCAGTTATTTAGCATATTTAGCTATTACTTCACAGCAAGCTTCCAATTACTCTTGTCTGCCCTGCTTTGCCTCGCGCTGATGACAATTTCAACGGTGATCTTATTCATCAAAGTCTGCTTTAAATCACGCCAGCGAAAGCGGGGAAGGCTTTTAATGGTTATTTTACTTACTCTTCTCTTCTTCCTCGTACTTGCTTTTCCACTTGATGCCCTTATTGCCCTTAATCATTTTCTAGCTTTTGACATTCCTGATCTACAACATTATGCCTTTCTGTGTGCCACCCTAAACAGCAGTGCTAACCCCTTGATCTATTTTCTGGTTGGGAGGAAGAAGCGAGGTCGATCCAAGGAGAGCCTGCAGGTCATTCTCCAGAGGGCTTTGAATGTGGAGGAAGACAACGGACAGGAAATGGACCGTCCCATTTCAAATCCGCTTATGATCCTTACATAATAATTGTCTGACTGTAATATTTCTTTATGCTGCGATGATATAGCTTGCTTATCTCAATGTGGCATGAAAAGAAGTGTATGCAGAAATCATTGACTTTTCCATGGATGAAATGTAGGCTCCTCTCCAAAGTCACATTGGTTGCTCTGCCAAAGATTTGCATGACTATTATGAATTTTTAACTTTGTGGTTGTTGCCAGATATATATTGTGAGCAGAATATTTCTCTCTAACATGACTCTTGTGCAGAAATAAATTCTTCAACACAAGAAAAAATAAGCTTTCAAGCTTTCCTTGCTGAAACTTGGTTCCAGTGTTACAAAAACAATAAGTCTTTTGCAATTGTTCCAGTCTTACAAACTCTATCTACACTGGCCCTAGTGTGATTATTCTAAACATATTTACAGAAGAAAATATAGCTATCCAGCTAGAAACCAAAGTATTCTCTCCCGCTTGTTTGCCTCTGTGCTTCAGCCGATGCCCCGGGAGAGACACTGCCTGTGTGCTGTTTCTGCTCATCTTTGCTCTGAGGCAAACCCTATTAGCACATGCAAACTTTGGTATAATACTCAAGTTACAGCCCTAACACAAGACCTAGCTTCCCACCCTTGTGTGGAAATACATCACAGAAAACTAAATTATTATTTTTATAACTCAAACATAATGTGATTTTAAATACTGCATTTTATGTAACACTAAACATAATTTCAGCAGTTGAACTCTGCTATATTAAGTGTTTGTTCCAAGAGAAGCATAGTACCGAATTATTAGATTCTATTCCAGCAAGTCAGGGACGCGGGTGGCGCTGTGGGTAAAACCTCAGCGCCTAGGACTTGCCGATCGCATGGTCGGCGGTTCGAATCCCCGCGGCGGGGTGCGCTCCCGTCATTCGGTCCCAGCACCTGCCAACCTAGCAGTTCGAAAGCACCCCCGGGTGCAAGTAGATAAATAGGGACCGCTTACTAGCGGGAAGGTAAACGGCGTTTCCGTGTGCGGCTCTGGCTCGCCAGAGCAGTGATGTCATGCTGGCCATGTGACCCGGAAGTGTCTGCGGACAGCACTGGCTCCCGGCCTCTAGGGTGAGATGAGCGCACAACCCTAAAGTCTGGCAAGACTGGCCCGTACGGGCAGGGGTACCTTTACCTTTTACCTTTATTCCAGCAAGTAAGGGTGCTAGGTTGTGGAAATTAAATGTTAGAGAACACAAAGACTTTCATGGCTAGAATGTCCTCCTAAACTCATTGATGGCTATCTTGACAGCCAGTAAAAGGATGTCTTATTGTCACATGTTGTTGGTCAACTGATTAAGCCAAGACATAAAGCATAACATACATCTTTCAGCT